CGAAGAGATCTAGAAGAGAAGCAACTCAAGATCATGGAGGGGTTCGTCGACGAAGAGCCCATATTGGCGTTAGATCTACCAAGCCATGTTGAAGACAAGGTCACGGAGTCCGAGGATCCACCTTCATTCAGTGACGTGTTCATGGACGAGGAAGTGGCTTACATCGAGATCGAGGTCAAAGGAGCCGAAGAGGTCGACGTCAAAGAAGAGATCTTGCTCTTGGTCAAAGAGGGCCTTGGCGAGGAGACACACGTGGAGAACGAGGATATCGATGTCGAGAGTGCAGGCTTGGTCGAGGTCGATGAGGACCATGATCGGTATGTGCAAGTGGTCGAAGAACGAGTGCCCGATGTTTGGATGGTCGAGGATGAGTCCTTGAGGACAAGGACATTCTCAAAGGGGGCGGGAATGATGCGTAAGTGGGTTTCGAGCCCCGACGATGAGATAGTCCAAGAGCCGAGACGACCCTATGAGGCCAGGAAAAGGGCTAGAACGACGCATGTATGGCCGAAAAGACGGGTAAGAGCTCGTATGCAAGGCGCACAAGTACGCGAGAAAGAGCGCATTCAAGAAGGGCGCGCACACGCGCATTGGCGTAGACGCACATGGCACTTGATGGTTTGGCGAAGTGGCGCGCAGGGGGTGGATGTTGGGTGGTTGATGCGCGCGAGGGATTGTTGCGGTGGGACGAGCAAGCGCTGGGCGCTGGGTGAGGCAGCGCTGGGCGATGACGTGCATGGGTGCGCGACGGGCGAGCGGACCACGCTGGGCGTAAGCTGCATGCACGGAGGTGGCAGGGGCACACGGGCGATGGGTTGCGACGCGTGGGACGACGCGGGTGATGTCCTAGACCGCGTAGGCATAGGAGTGCTGGGCGACGAGTGCGGGGCGCACGGCGACACGCACGAGGCACAATGCAAAAATAAGTTGGCAAGCCTAGTCCTCGTAGGAATAGGCAAGGTGCGAATACTAAACCCCGCAGGACTAGGAAAAGCAGTTGACCGTCAGAACGCGTGTAAAATATTGGTGACGGTAGTATTCCTGGAAAGATCAGGAAACGTGGCTGGGAGCATATTCCTAGTAGGAATAGGAATAGTGGATATGGGCTCGAAGCACAATCCTACAAGGAATAGGGATGGCGCATGCGGGGCGCGAGACCTTAAGCCTCGAGGCAAGAGGACATACACGCATGGGCGATGGCGGTGCAGCCATAGTCCTCGAGGACTAGGGCGAGGCGTGAGGCGGCGCGCGGGTTTGAGGCGGCTAGGGCAAGAGGCGGCCAACTTGGGGTGGGGAGCAAGCAAGAGGATTGGAGTGCAAGGCAAGGAAGATCAAGACTATTATAGTAGTATTAGGATTTTGTTACCATGTTGCTTTTCATTCTAGAATTAGGAGATCTAATTACCTTATGCTTAGATTTATTTTATGCACCTATAAATAGGGGTCTCCCCTCATTGTTTTTAATGTCCAAGAATGATGAGATAGAAAAGAACGTTTGTTCGAAACCGTGTGTTGAGAGTCGTGAGACTCGATCATGCAAATCGAATTGGTGAGGCTAAGACCCGAGCCAGTTCAACGATTTAG